CTGTTTCATCCTAGTTTGGGAATCATCGGCAGTACGCATCCACCGCCAGTGTTCAAACTCAGGACCTTCTGGTTACAGGGCAAGCTCGTAGACCATTCAGCCACTGGGACCCGATTCGATGGCCCATGAATACTAACTTCTACCAATTCGTGATTTAGCGCGACCATCAACCAATGTCATCGGTGGGAAAACAATCCGCACACTTGACTGGATGGACCTCACTGGTGACGACTTCTCACTAGAACTCCAGGAAACTCCATCCTGTAGCAAGTCACTAGCGAGCATCAGATTAATTTTCAATAGTTGGTTTGTAAGGATTGGATCTGTTTATACGAGTTTTTACCATAGATTGATATCAGTTAGTGAACCATTGGGAGTTTAAACTGTCGTCAAACAGGTTTTGAAGCACTTCATTTCAAGAAAAGAATTTCATTGTCTGATAAAGTAATTTGTTACAACCTTGACCTTAAAGATCTTCAAAAATAAAGAAATTCCTGTAAATGCGCCTGTTTTTCAGCGTCACATAACTAGGATATTGAATCTGACGTGTAAAAATGGTGTATAAGTCAGGTGCTTTTACGCGTTTCCATACCAAGCGTTTGGAAAGAATGTCTATTTCAACCATCTGACTTACTGCTTACATAGTCACAAGTATTCATCTCTCTGCACGGTATTGCCGTTTTTTCCGTAGCTGCATAAATACAAGTCACTGATTATGAGGTTTTGTTAAACAGCTTAACCATAATACTAGATCATGCTCAGACTTACAAATATTTATATACCAGACACAAAAGTCTGGTAAAACATTTACCGACTACTTTATATTTTCTAACAGTAAGTTTTCTGATAAAAAATACCCACAAGAAAACAAGTCTGTTAATCTTCATCAAATATCTATTTAGTTACTTTTTGTATTTTATCATATCATAGTTTAGACACACAGCATCCGCTTCTTAAAGTTTCATTGAACATTGTTTTAAAACTCCTTAATTTTTATATCACTTGTTTGTGTGTATTTCGCCTAGGCAATTTGATTCCAACTTATTTTAAAGAAATAACAAATTTTCACAATGTTTCCAGGCATCTTTCTCTATAGAGTGTCTTTTGAGCACAGTCTCTTTTTTGCTGTTTGCATTATATTAATTCAAACAAATTATGAATCATATTTAAATGATTTATAACTGTGCCGGTAACTCGGTCAACATGTCTTAAAATAGATGTGTATTATTTATTTTTAAAAACACATCAATAGAGTTGTTAAATTATATGCACAGAGTGAGTCATTCTAATATATACATATATATCTTCGTTTTCTATGTCTGACCACACTGGTGTATTATGTTTCAAGTGATAGATAGCGAAAGAACAGCCGCTAAAAAAATAGGCATGCACGCCGAAATAAGGTTGGTGCAAATCTCGCTGTTACCTTCGAATGACTTTTAACCCAGGACGAATTAGCAATGTATATTTGCAAATATCTCTTTAAATAAACCTTCATATTATCTAGTCTTTATAAGAAGGTTACTAATCTGCTTGAGTAAACAACGAATTCTTGGCTTACTTACTATATCTGACATGTTGCTAAGCTCTTCTGGTTTCTCGGAGTTTTTATGTATTCGAACAGCCTAACTATTGTAGGATATCAGTATAATCTCTTTAGAGTAAAGATACACTTACTGACTAACACAGTACCCTTAAAAATCGCCACAAAACAGACGAACAGAAGTTATTCCATCACGCCTTCTACTCTGTATTTTCATTCAGCAATTAAAATGGTATTACTATCATTATGCAACCACTAGATTTATTTTAAAGTTGCATAAGAAGTTTCGAATAGACCTCTTTTGATTATGAAGTCAAAAGACTTCAAATAAGAAATATAATCCGGCATTATAGTTGGTAGATAAAAATGTAATTTACAATCGCCAGAATGTAGTAACGATCATTCTGAAATTTGCGCTTCAGTTTGCATCAGTAGTGATTAAACAAGCGACTGACAAGTAATTCAGGCTGTATAGAAATTAGAATCGCAGTTCTAAGATCGAACTGTGAAATCTGACATCAAAAGTGTACAGAACTTAACTGCTAAATTCAGCCAGTAACAGAAAAAGTCAATCACAACAGTTATAACACGTAAACAAACTAAGCATGATCGATAGTGAAGCAAAGAAGCCTTATTCAAACAAGGTTATTGGAATGAGTATAAATAAGGAAGGCGCTAGGAATGTACGTTAGAAAACGTCTCCAATACAAAAGATACTGAATATAAAGTTGTGAAGTGTTCTGTACGAATCATGAGTTTAAAATAAACACAACAAGTTTCCTTTTATTTCTTTTTTTCACTTTAATTATCCCTATATTTTCTCAAAGAACTGCGAGATGAGCTTGTTTCATGTTCAGTGTATGGCCGAGAAAATGTTATGCGACATCGTGAACTTTGAATATGACTCTTTTAAGCAATGCTTATGTCAATACGAATTCTATCTATACTTGAGATTTTGTCAGAAGAACTTCATGCTCACTTGTTAATTTAAAATTATGTATCTAAATCATCGATCGTTCGTCGCATAGTAGTATACCTATGAATTTCTAATTCATTTTTCACTAACACATAAAATCGAATCAATGTTATACAGTTGATTCAGAATGAATATGAACTTCTTCATGGACAATAGTGTCTTGTAGAACCTAAATCGGAGATGCTTGACTTGAAACTATCGTTTTTGAACTATTTGCACATCCCGGTCTAGCGTCATAGACTTCTTATTATCTCTTCAGTGACAATATACCTTGTGGTTTAATCTTCTCCGACTTAAACTCCTACTATCTAATTTTGATTTAGTGCTTATTAGCTTGGTAGAAAGGCATCTGTTAATATTTTGTAGGTTTGCAGTATTATTTCAGTCAGTCCTAATTTTGGCACTGTTCCATAATTTGAGTCAAAATTGGGTATAGCAAACAGGATCAACAATGATAAAAGAAATAAGGAGGGCAATATTTGTGTATAGGTTTAGAGTATGACAGCAAGAAATACTACTACCACGCTATTTTATGTGATAAAACTTTGGCCAGTACTCATCACAATAATAGTTTCATGGTTTTCTAATCTTTTTTCACTTGTCGCTTGCAATTTAGGAATTGTGAGACCTTTTATCCACTTTTGCCTTCTCAATGGTAGCATGACCATAACCTCAAGTGATTGTTTTCAATGTGACAGATTGTGCGATGACGCGACGTATTAAATTAAAAGATATGACAGTGGAATTAAATGTGATAGATGATCAAATGTCAGTGCCTTCTCCGGTAATTGAGATTTACCGGGAATTGTGTATTGTCGATTCGGTTGGCAAAATGTTTTCAAACAAAAACTAACTGTAATTTTATTAAACTGCACTAACAGAAAAGTATTGTAGCTTACCTATCTATGCCTTGACAATATTATTTGATGAATGCTGAATGTTCAAGTAACAATTTGAACACATCGCTTCAGTTGTCTTGATCATATGGTATTTAAAATTAAACTATATTTTTTTAACTGCTTAGTTGTAATCGCTCAAATTAATTGCAGCTATTCATATAACTATAAAATCCTGTCATATCATTTCTGCTCTTTTATTAATAAAGTGTTCATCGTTTTGGATATCATTTGTCCAAGATACATTAAATGAATCTTTTTAAATCTGAGTTTTTCATAAAGTAAAATTATCTTTATATCTTGCATTAAAATAAATTAACTGCATTACAGTCTAGAAGAAAGTTGAGAAAGGAGCTTCCTTTCCTTATCATATACTGCAGTCACTGTGTATCTGGGTAGTGAAAATGTAACTTCTGACTAATCGAAATCATCCATAAAAGGCAAGCTATACTTAAAGTGCACTCGACAAAATCCTTAAGCCAAAATTACTATTCCTGTATCGGTGATCCATTTACTGATTAGTTAATAAAACTGTATAATTGTATACGTTATAAATAATGCTCTGCCTTGGAGTTACATTCTGGAGTGGCTTACTTAAACTTTATTTGCAGAAATGTGCCTTAAGTAATACCATTTCAAAAAATAATTGGTTGTCAAATGTTATTTAATCGGTTGAAACTAAATTTATGTGAACTATTTGTTTGAGGGGAAGACTGATATGATGTCTTCAGTGACCTAACGATAAATTTGAGATGCATTTATCGAACTGAATACCATTTTGAATACTTAGTGACAAGATATGCAATGTGTGTCAATATTTGACTGATACGCTTCATCTTAAAAATCACTATCAGAATGGCAAAAAATATACAAGCTTGTAATTAATGCAGTTGATTTTTTATACACTGAATACGATCTGTCACATAAGTTCAACTATGCAATAAATGAATTTTAGGCTGAAGGAGGCTAGTTGGTAGTGTATTTATCCTCAGACATCTTGCAAATTTTATTTGTATTACTGTTTTCAAGATTCTGCCATTCAACGAAAGCTCCTTAGTACTTAGTACAGCAAAAAATAAAACTTATTAACATTATTGCTCGTATTTGTTACTTGTAATGTATAACTTATTGACCGATTATTTTCTGATCAGCACTCATATTTCTACATTTAATACCACTTCTGATTGATGAAAAGGTAATTACAGTCTAGACAGATGATAAACATTGTGATTGATATTCCCCAAAAGAAATAATCACTCAGCAACTAGAAAACAACTAGAGGCAATAACTAGATATCATTTTTAGATAGCATCTGCCTAAATTATAGTTTGATATTATTTGTACAAATTCATTGTGATTGATATCTCAAAATAATTTCACTGACTGCTGTAATTAACTGTGGAGTACGGATAGAAAGCTTTGAGCACTCCTTGTCTGATACGATAGGAATCATAATATCATAATAAAACCAGTAAATGTATATATATATATACATGCGTGTATACAAATATTCTTAATCTTTAATTGTTAACTGAAATTTCTAGACTACTTAATTTTCATGCTTTTTTCACTTTGCATCTCTTAGCTCCGTCTACCAACAGTGTCAAGAATACGTCCGCAATTTTACAGCTGTTACTAGCCAATCGTGACAGTATTGCGTAAGTTTATTCGCATTTATGTACATTATACTTGTATGTTGACCTTAGTTTTGAATACATGATATGAAATAAATTCATACAAAATGGATAAAATATTAACATGGATATTTAGTTTTTAAAACGTTAACATACTGAGTTTACAGAGTAATTAACGTAGAAACATACTATACTTTACTGAAACCGATAAACTGCTGCATCCAGACAGTATTCAGATTCATATATATTTGATAGGATTGTAGTGTGCTTAATATTTTTAAATAGTGCTTTTAGGTTTTACTGCTTTCGTTGAGAAAAAGCCCTTCGGATAAACAAGTTTCTATCTCTGTCCAAATGGATATCACAAAATATTATTGGTGAATAAATCAGCAAGGCAATAAATATGTTGAAAACACGCTAATATGGGCTTATACGCATGAAAGAAGTTGTCGCGTGTTTTGTCACAAATTACATTTTACTAGGCCTAAATTATCGGTATGGTCATCAAAAAACATAAAAGTATAGCTAATAATTCTTCAGGTTCAGTATATCATTATTTAACAAAAATCCCCAGAAAGGTCAGTTGATACTTCTTGTAAAAGTAAAATGCATACAGTCCTTCAACTATGAGCATTTTACACCAGACAAGACAGGTGCCACTGACTCATTTCACTTGAATGATTCACCTTAGTTCACTTTATTTTTTCGAGAAATATATCCTCCATGCTCCTCCATAACTCACTATTAACCTCACGTTCATCTTTTGATGAAAGCTTGGTAACGTTTGCCCCCAAAGAGAATAAATAATTTATCTCCAAAGCTTTACTGTCAACGTCATGAAAAGGATTTCTAGCAGGTTGTAGAATTTCACCAGCAATTATCTTCGCTGGCTTGGTAATAATTATCATCATATATTGAACCAAAAGAGATAAACAACAAATAATTCCGACAACAAACGAGCCAAGAACCTATCGCCGAACATATTTGAGGAAGGAAATGTAGATGGATTGGACACATGCCGACGAAACCATTCAGTGAAATCATACATGAGATCATTGATTGAAACCCGATGGGAAACAATGAGGGTACCTCAGAGGAGATGCTGTGAGGAGAAAGTTAAAGCTTATGGTCAGTCATGGAATCAGGTAAAAAAGAATGCAGAAAACCGATTTAAATGGGGATGTGGTTCTGAAACCCAAAGTTCCATTCCGAACCAAAATGGATAATAATAATCTGCAGGGCAGTATACAGTACTAGTTTAACTAATCAGTTATAATTCACTGATTTCAAATGTGAGCTTACAGTAAAAGTTGCCCATCAAAAGGAATTAGATACGTTTAAGCGTGATAACAGCAATCAACACACTGCTCTTAGTACTACCGTAAATCGCTTAAGTTATTTTTAATCTGCAAACCGCAGTGTTTGTGAGAGTTTTATCATAGTTTAATTAACCTGCATTAAAAAAAGTCCCGAAATTATTTTTCTACTCAGTCTTCTCGCATTTGTTTACAAACGTCACTTAGATAATTCCAAATGCTTGTATATCCATTTGCATCAAAAACTGTCTTTAAAGTAAAACAACACTGATCAGATGATATTTCCTTTACAAGTGTTTCTGGAGAACAAGTCATACTTTAATCTGTTTGTTTCATTTGGGATTTGAAGGCGCTTGCTAAGCTTGATGAAGACATCAACCAACAGAGTCACACACATAGTTGACGCTGCACAATGAATTCCCAGCATAACTGTCACACGCTGATTATCATACTAACACATTACTTATATATTAGAAGCTCATTTTTACGAGTGGCTCTTTCACTCATGAAATATATTTAGCAAGCATTTTTCAAGTTGAATCTTGAAATGTGAACAGTCTAATACTCCCCTGATTTATAGAAAATAATATTGTCAAGTGTGCATCATTATAACAAGTTACATTTCGCTTCATTTAGCATTTACGCAGTCATCTGTATATATTACAGTTGTTTAGTCTACTATTTAAGCTCATTATGCTAAAAACATGCAATCTGACAGTATTCAGCCAGATAATATTTTAGTACACCAAATGAAAAGATGGAAAGTCACCTGGATATAATGTAAAATGTCATGCCCGCTAATCACATTATCTCCACTATACGCAAAAATTAGCTACCTGTGATTGCAACACTACGTCAAATTTATTAAACTTGAGACTATTTTCTGTGAATACATTTATGACATGACATTGTGCCACATAATTTCAAGAAGTGGATATTTAGTTCCCAACAAATGTACCGTGTTCCCCACTGCCACTTAGTACAAGTTTACTTTTTTCTGCCTTACGTTTATTTGTTTCTAAATTTGAGTGGTATAGGCAGTGCAAAAACTGTCAGGAAAGAGATATTACATTGCTTTGCAATAAATAATAAGTCAAATCTTAATTATTTCTTATTGAGTCCCCTACTGAATGTGGCGCTTGAATGCCTTAGATTACCCTACGTGAATTTTTCCAGGTGTAAGCCATACACGAATTATACCTAGTAATCTCTCCGCAGGCCTAAAACGGTGTTCGTGTTTGCTTTTGTTGCCATAGTAACTTTAAAATAATCAGCGTAACAAGATCTTGTAAGACCACTATTAGATTTAAAATTATTAATTATCAGTATACACAAGGAATCCCATTTTAGCAGTGTCAAATTCTCCCAAGTGCAATCGTAGACCTAGCTGAAGAGGGCAGCAGTGAAGAGAACAAAATGAAGATGTGTTACTGAAGCCCTTTGTTCCACTCAGAACTCAAGGGAACAATAATAATACCTGTATTCTCTTTTTTCCATCTCACTTAAAAACTTATGAACTTTGATTTTATCAAGAGAATATGTCCAAATAAAGAGGTCATTTTCAACAAACCAAGATTAATCCAGACAATTTATTTTTTAGTAGACAGTAAAGTAGTATCAAACGCATCAGTGATGACGAATCGAAGAACAACTTAATTGAGGTCTCAGTATTAACCATAAGTGTTTAAATACAGCAAAAAGCTTATTGCATTCTACTTACTGCATGCTACGTATTTATTAAGCTTCAGAAACTCCTATGTAGGTTTTGCAGAGAGATGTAGTTTATCTAATATTTATAGGTTTGACGATAGGAGAACCACAGTTTTATTCAGCTAACATCTGTGATTGGAATGAAATATTAATTTATGAACTGTGAAAACTACCATCAGGTTTTGTTTTGTTTTTTTGTAGATAGACGTTTTCAATATTAAAAAAATACTTAGCCAGATGACCAGAAACTTTGTAATTAATTTTGCCTTTTTGACAGTGATTTGGATACCACGAATTTACCTAGAATGATTGCACTTCAGAGAGGATCAAATGGTTTTGGATTTGTTGTACGCGGTAAAAGGGGTGAGCGAATTATTGAAAGCCTTTTTTATATATTGGCAAACGTTCTTTATTTTTTTAATTCACGTCTGACTGTGACCATTTAATGAAATTTTGAGTTACAGCCAGATATTGAAAAGATTTCACAAATTTTGATGAATGAAATTAAAGCTTTGAAAATGATTTAGACTGCACTACCATGAAGATGTGCTGCAGACTGGTTGTTTGTTTGTAATTTTGCTGATGTATGTGAAGAAAAGCAAGAAACTGTTTTGTAATACCCTACTGTCATTCCGCGTATTGAATCTGCATAATGGTGATGCCTAAGATTGCATTGTTTAACACCACTGGATATGCAGAAGCTATCAAGCACTAATGAATTCAGCATATATGCGATTCATAATTCAATATAAATGGAAATATGTAGGGGATTTTGAAAAGTTAAAATTACTGGTAGCCTCACGACTATGCTAACCAATAGGAAAATAAATTGGCATATTCTGTATGCGTAAATTTATGCACGCAGTTTAGAAACCCCCATTAGACCTTATAGACCTTTTCAACCACCCATATGGCCAGGACTTCAGTGAAGATCATCAAAATAATTAGTAACTATGTTTTCTACATACTTTGAAGAGCCTCCTATTTGTAGATTATATTATCAAAACTGCAGGTAAAATATTCTGTTTATTGATAAAATCTATGCTGATTCAGTGAAGGCATACTTTCTGTTGCACCCTAGTCTGGAATATTTAATAATAATTGGAGGAATATAAGTGGTACTATGCAGAACTTTTGAAACAGTGTTTGTCATAAGTTTGTCTAAAGGGAATATAATAAGTGTGTGGTGGTACTCTGACTTAACTCTTGGTGAACCACCGTAAGGATCTTTTTCTCACGCACTCTAGAATCATGTATTTTACAACTGTTGGTTTATCTCACTTCTCTACCTTCTATGTTCTTTGTACAAAATAACTTTATTATATGCGATCATATTTATCGTTTTGCTATCCTTACTTTGAGTGACTTTCTTCGTCTTTACTTCGAGAAATTAAAGTTACAATTACCCTTGCGACATCCAGCTGAGAATTGTTGCATTTGCTTTCATTTCTAAGGGGAAAAAGAACACTGCTTATTCAAGATTAAAAATCCTTATTTATTTAAAAATGCTATGACTAGTGTGGACCTAAAATATTGGTGAGTTAAGGAGAGGCGTTACCCAATGTTTCACAAAATGATATTTCCTATGAGTCATAAGTGGGCGTCGCCTTAGTCACACTGTTGGGCATACATGTAGGCATACATACAAAACAAATCAATAACTGGATAGTAAATAGTACAGATTAACGACATTTGGTCATCCACCCTATTAATTGTTTTGTTTCGTTTAGGAAAGCTGTATGAAAATGTTATCCATTGTTTGACTGCTGTAACATGAGCAGTGTTTTCCAAATGGTTGTTAAACAGTTGGTAATATTGTAAACAGCAATTAAGAGAAAAATTGTTTTTCATTGTTCTAACCACATACAGCTGACATGTTGGATTCTTGTGCAAGACAACATAATTCTTAGTTATCTAATTACTCAAATAGACTCATTTATTATAAAAGAAATCCTACCAAGGTTACTTAAGTCTTCTTCAGTCAGTATCATAAGAAAGTAATCTTTCAAACGTTAAATTACTGATCAGACGTGCTTGTAGCTGATGTTCTCTTCAAGGGCGAAAAACTGAAACAACAACTTAAGGTTAGAAAATTCTCAAAACTGATGAAAAAACTGAGACTATATCAGTTGTCTCATCGCTCAGCTAGTAAACCATCCAGCTAGTGAAAACTGGAATCTTGTCAGCCCCCAGGATTTTATTTCCAAATAAGTGGATGAGATTTGATTTAACAAAGAGGTTATATACACCAATAGAGGCTCTGAACATCATTCATGGTATAAATCTTTATGATCACTAATGTTCGAAGCAAAATACTTACTTAGAAATTTCCATTTGTTGCGTTTATAGAGATAACATCATGTTAGATTGTTATCTGCAAGTTGATCATAATGACTGTAGATTTTTATGGGATGTAATTAATAAAACTACCACAAAATGTAGTCTAAAATCCCTATTTTTATGTCTCTGTATTTCTCACTTGCTTCCCCTGAACTAGATTGAAATTATTCAGATGTTAGGTTTTTAGGGGTGTGATTTCATCTTGAACAGGCACCGCTTAGAGAGTCAATTTAAACTGGAGTGCGATGGATAGGTATTTCATCTGCAGAAGTGCGCACCCATGACCCTGTTATGTATGAGATATTAGGACCTGGTAGACTACAAGCGAATCTAACTTAATGCGCTGGCTAATCTGTCCTAATCGCACGTCAACAACAACAACGACAATACCGCCGGGCACGCAAGACAAAGAAAGAGAAGACTGGACGTTGATACGAGAGCTTTTACTGTCTCCACAACAGTAGAAATGTTAAACAAAATCTCCGTATTTATACAGTTAGGAAAATCAATGTCACATTTAAAAATATTAACAAACCATGGGAATTCAGTTATTAAATGCGAGTGCAAAAAGTCAATAGTCATGCACGTGTGGGAAATAAATTATCATGCAGGCGCAATCAATATTGATGAGTCACCTGTGTATATATCAGACCCCACCTAGGGTCGAAGACAGGAGGTAAGAAATTTGTCATCCAACGCGTCAGCGGACACTGGTAGCTCTATATCACAGACTGACAATGTTTAGAATTTATGCATCACTGGATTCTAAACCACTTACCCAATGGTAGTAATGCTCCATTGAAGGAATAAAGACCTTGGTTTTAATCCATTTGTGGGATTTGTGGTTAAGCAGTGCTGAGTAAAACGAAATAGCTATCTGCTTATATGTGATTATTACTTACTAGTTGATGATAGCAAAGAAAGGAAATATCTCAATTTCTAAAGGCAAAACGTCAACTTCCTTTCTAATTAAATGCGTTGTCAGTCACTTCATGACAAGGTGATATTTGTTTTTAAAAGCTTTGTTGACAATAGTTTAGGAGGCGAAAGTGAGCTCGTACAGGATTTCGAACTTTATAGAAATCAAATCAACTCTCAATTTTGCTGTATGACTATTTAGCATTTTATGAATTATACAAGCGTTCTTACGGCATTGAAATATATTACATCCAACTTCGAAGGCCGTACAGAATGGTACACTTCCTTCTACAAACTGAATACAAAGAACTTTTGGATCGGGGATTTTGCCATCTATTTGAAACTGGAAGTACTTGTATTTATTTCATAAGTCGATCAGTTCTTCTCACGCAAAATTTCTGTCTACTTGTCTAACCTAGTTCAGGTATTTGGTAACAGCAAAAGATTCCATAAAAACTTTTATAAAAGGATATTCCTGTGTACTCAATTGCTACCAGTATTTTAATGGCGGTTTGAAAAATAACATTCATTTTTAATTTCCATAGGTACATCTGGAAACTTTGTACCAACTCTTGAGTGTCCTGCGTCTCAGTATTTGGAGAAAATTGAACCGCACAGCGCAGCAAGTAGAGCTGGATTAAAAGCGGGTGATTTCATATTAGAGGTAAGCTAAAATTAATCATACTTTAAATAAACTCTCTTAAACAGTTCACTGTTTAAGTCTGTTATGTGTTTTAGCCTTTATTCGTACAGATGAAGACTGGCGAATATTCAGTAACACAACAATTTTTGAAGTTTTTAAAAAAAACTATATAAGGGTGATTTTTTCTGACAAGCTGACTAAAGTGTCTAATCACTCTTTGTTACCTAACAAAGTACGTATATGTTATTGATATAAGGATAAAACTTTGGTAGAGTGTAATTCCGTTATGGATAAAATTTTATTTTGATAAAATCACAGTGTTATACGGTAATATTTACTGATGACGTTTCAAGCACAATTATTAGCCATAAATACATATATCTTAGACTAGACATATTTATTTAAGCTTATCTGTCTACAACTATATTTGATGTGCTTAAAATACTACAGGTATTTCTCAAACTTTAAATCCACTAGGGGCAATTACGTTTACAGCATGTAATAGCCATATACAAATGTATATTCTCAAACAGTAGAATACCACTGTTTATATGCATACAGTGAACATGATAGTCTCATTATCTAAACTACATGTCACATTTCTGTTATGAAAATATATATATTTATATAAATTTTTAAATATAAGTCGGTTCTATTTGCGCGCTGATACAGATTAAATGTGAAGTCTAGGACTGAAATACTCTCAAGAACCTGCTTATCAAGCTGCATTCTGTAGAAAAGAAAAAGGCTGAAGTATAAACAATTTATTACAGACAGTGAAAGTTGGACAGTATTATCATTTCAAATATGAACTATGACACAGTATTTTGTAATGCACATACTGAATGCGCATTTACCAGAATTTATTGACCGTATGACATATACTGCTGGTAAATGTTAGTAGTCTGAACACTGATAATAAAAGGATGAATGCAGGCAAGCACTTTTCTCTTCTGGTGATAAACTCATTCGTAGCGTACACGAATCGCTTCATTTCACATTGCAGGATTTGTTCATATTACCTCAATTTCATCTGTGTCGTCAAGTGTACGTCATCTTGATATGGCTAGTAAGTGCTGTTAGTTGGTGCTGACCCGTTAACCTTACAAATATATAATTCAATTCATAGTGTGTAGAATCGAGAAATGGATAAGTAGTACATTTTGATTACATAGAGTATGAGCATTTTGTCCAAGATTATAGTTTGTAAAAGATTAATACTCTTAAGATGTCGTGGTATAACTTTAAGTTCAGTTGAAAAACTGCTGAAGCAGCGTTAGGTCAATGCTTTAGCTTACTCTGATGTGAAATACCAAAGTGAATAAGGAAGCTCATGAGGTTGTGTCATGGTTTCTAACTGCTTGAATAACACGCTATTATCGAACATAGAACTGAAAACTCGGTTTGTTTATCACGAATATTTTCGAAAGACAATATCACTGAATAACTGACTTACACAGCAACCGATTTAAAATCACAAAAGCGACACTTTTCTAATTAACAATATTTGCATCAAAATACAACTTATATTCACTTCATAACCAAAGACTACATACATTACGCTAATTCATGGAAAAAGACATTAATGTTGGTCGATAATGTAGACTTTTCGGAAAGATTTCCATCTACCAGCTTAAAAAGACAATTGTTTTAGTTTTCCGATCTGTTAGAGTACCATGAGATTTCATTTGTGAATATTTTTATTTCATTCCATCTTTTAAGTTTTACATCACTAAATATTCAAGTTGCTTGACGTATACTATTTATGTACTTAAGTAAAGTAATCCTAGATCACTGCTGAGAAGATCACTGGTGGAAAGATTAGCTCGGTTTTGGCAGCAATATGACTACTAAATAATTCGAAGTTTTAAACTTTTTGGCTGAGATTATATCGAAACAAAATATCTTTAATTGGTTTGCCTACTGATTACTACATAAACAACAAGAAATTATTAGTCAAAATTTTGTGTGAAATAATAATTGTCTTGCTGAGAAGTGTATTTAGACCTGCAGAGAATGCATAAAACAAGGCTTGTAAACAATGTGGAGTCTCACCTTGTGAAAGCCAAAATGTTTCAACAATGATATCAATACCCATATATTAGAGTTTTCAGATTATGTCGCAAGAATTCACCAAGTCCTCCAAGGCAGGCACGAGGATAGTCAATCGCCTGTGACACTGGCTGGTGCTTGCTCTAAATATATATCACGAATTGGCAGAAGTTTGAATTCATAGACCATTGGGTCAGATCCCAGTGGCTGAACTGTCTATGACCTCGCCTCGTTACCGGAAGTTCGTGGGTGCGAAGCCGGATGGGTGCGTACTGATGAAGAGTCTCAAACTAGGACGAAACGACTGTTAAGTACTCCAAGGATTTCCAGTGGTTCTTTAACTGATGTCGGTTCGTGATCAATCCTGTAATTCCTTATGCTGGTCAAATTTTATATAACAGAAAAGAACTAGAAGATGAATGCACTGAATTGTCAATGTAGATCACAAGAATACAGTTGACGTCCATTTTTTCACTAGTTTAAATAAACGACATATAAACTTTAAGAATAATTTTGTATAAAAATTGCTCAGCGCAGTGAATACATAGATTTGTAAGCCTTTAAAAGATATCTAGAAGGTATCATTTTACTTTTGGTCATAACTGTCATGACTTTAAACATATCTGAAAGACGCTAAATTGATCACTCAACAAAAGAGCATAAAGAATACATGTGGTAGAAATTAAGGACAGCTATCTTTTTTGATCTTTTAAGGTGCATTTACATCTCGTCCTTATCAGAGAACTAAAACCAGTGAACAAATTTACATCCACAAACATATCCTGCAATATGAAAATGAATCAAATATTTTGTAGATAAAACTGTGTTTATCAATCGTTTATCTGATTTGACAGGCTGGTTAAATTAATTTTACTTTCTAGAGCTGTTGAAAGTTCTAGCTAAGATAAGAAGCCTGACGTTTAGGCTTGTTTTGTGCAAACCTTTAGTTAAGCAAATGTTAGAAGACTTAACAGAAGACACAGGTGTTGGTTACCGTTAGGATCCTTGGCATGCCTGTTATTCTGTTTGAGACTAGTAAACAACACATTTCCACATCTAAGCGATGATGCCGGCCTCAGGGCGGACCAGTCCCATATTGGTCTTTTGAGTCACGCTTTGGCATTTAAAACAAGAGGTGGTGATTCGAGCTCCGAAGGAAATAGAATGCACATATATCCAGCTGAGGGTTCCGAAATAGGATGAAGTGTGTACTTGAAATTCAATGTTACTACTGACTCCGAAAAATATAAAACTGAGGTCAGACCCATCATGGATTATTCAATTCTTAAAAACCAAAATTGTATCCACAACGAGTCATTTGGCTCCGCTTAAGATAAGCATGATCCAATAAAATTTATTGTTTTATAACTTTTGGTATGTGTTTAAAGAAGAAGTCTGAGGTACATATATCCCTCGCACATGGTTAATTTGCAGCTGAATAGACAATGAAGTTTAAGTGTTTCACAGACGATGAAAGATGTTAATTTCCACCTCATGCTAAATTTTCCACTCGGTAAATTTAAGTGACTTCATGTGTAAATTATTTTTCTAAAAATTTGAAGTTAAAGAAAGAAAGGTAAAAAATGAGAAAAGTGAAGCACTATAGCATAACATCTTATGCTGCAAGTCATTCATATATTGCTTTAAAGACGGCAGTAAAGTTACTAGTGTATTCACTTTCATAAAACTAAATAGGTTTGTAAAATCAGCTTAACCTGTGGTATAAAATGTCTGCTGAAAACCGTCTAATCTATATATATTCAAAGTTCAGCCTAAAGAAAAAAAATTAAAAAGTGTTAGTCAGTTTATATTATAATTATTATCATCTGGAAGTATAGACCCATAAAACATCCTATAATTTTAGCATTCTGTATGATGAAATAATAGATTTTGACATTAATATTGTTCCCCTGGGTTCAGAGTGGAAAAAAGGCCTCAAAAACACATCTCCACTTTGCTCTATTTTCTGTTGTCTTCTTCAACTGAACCCACGATTGTCCACAATCTCATCTCCTTCTCCTCAAACGATCACCTCCATGTCACCCTCGCATCGATGACCCATTAGTCATTCCCCATTCGGGTTCCACTAAAGAGATGACCTGCATTACGCGCGATGTCATTCCACGGTCTCCTCAGTGTGTGCCCAATCCATCTCGAATTCCTCCTAAACATTTGTTGAGCAATTCGCTCTCAGTCGGTCTGTTTCCATAGTTTCATGTTGCAAATTCTTTCTGGCCGATCGACCATTCAATCTTCAATATGGAGCCTTCGAAGGCAGCTGTTGGTAAAAGTCTGCAGTTAGCTGTTGGAACTGCTGTTTATAAAACCAACGCCATGCTTCTCACCGATATACAGGCAGTGACTGAATGACTCGACACTGGTGTTCAAAATCCGAATTGTGTTGTTGTTCTGTATGCTGAGGTGGAGTGCAGAAGATTTGCAAACCGATTTCAGATTGATGAGGGTGTATCTCACCTTTCCGATTCTGGCTGGCTGTCTTTGACATATTCATCCGTGCCGTGTGCTTGTGGTTGAAACGATGATTCCTAGATAAGTGAAGGCAGGAAGTAAACTTTGCGAAATCTCTCCCGTTGATGGTGATCGGTGCTGGTTGTTGCTGCTGTTGCTGGTGCTATTGGTGGTGATGGTGGTTGGTTATCTTCATCACCTCCGTCTAATCCATGTTCACCTGCAGTTCTGTACTCGCTGCCTACTTCTTCAGCCAATTTGTTGCTTTTCACCTAGTTCTAAGTCTTCGAGCTTGTGTGACATTAAACATATATCATCCACACGCGAAATCCAGAACTTCTGGAGTCTTCTTGTCGGTCAGTGCAGCATATTCCTGTCTCCTCTTTCACTGCCACCGCACAGTCTGTGGTATAATTCAGTCTACAGCAATGAGGAATACCAATGGTGATAGTAGGCAGCCAGCCTTGTCTTACTCTTGCATTCACTTCAGAGGACCGGCTGAGGTTCCGTTGTGGATCACCTGACACTCGGCTTGCATTTTTATATAGCCAGCTGTTGGGTGAGATTGTTAAAGATTTGGGCACTGAATGCCTAAGTGTTGAATTAGTTTCCAAATTACTTCTCGGTCAACGCTGTCTGCTGAATGCATTTTCGAAGTAAATGAAAGAAGTTGAGGTAGGGATTTGACCACCATTCTACGCTTTGTTCGTTGATGATGATGCGTAGAGTTGCAGTTCGATCAGCATATGATTCGCCTCTCCTGATTCCAGCTTGATCCGGGCTAGCGGAATTCTGTATCCAGTGCATCATTTATTCTCTCCAGGATGATGCGACTTAGTATTTGACTTGGCATGGACAGGAACATTTTTCCACGCCAGTTCTTGCAAAGACCTAACTAGGTCACTCTCCTTTGGCAGCTTGACGAGGTAAGCAGGCTTTCTTTCAATCGGTAGGCACCTTTCCTTCTTTACAAACGTTTTGCAATAATGGAGTGAGAGCATCTGTCGAAGTCTCTAGGTCCGTTTCCAGTGCTTCGGGGAATTCCATCTGGTTATGCTGCCTTCCCGGGCTTCAACAGCATGATCGCATTCAGGATTTCTGTTTTCGTTGTAGGATTGGTGTCCACTGGCAGGCAGTTCAGTGAGTGCTGTCGGTGGCGGTGGTGGTGTTATTTGTTGGCCAGTTGCAGGTGATGATGTTCGACTCAAGAGTCGTTTGAACTGATCAGCTGAATGTTTGATTTCTTCCTCCTCCTTGGTAATCAGGTTCACTTGAACAACTTTTATTGGTTTCATCGTCTGAGTTGATCCCTTCCTGGATAGCGAGCAGGCTGGTTTTCTGATATAATGTCTTAAGTTCTCTCTTGCCTACAGCCTGCCTGCCTGCATGTTCTGCTTCAGTTGACGGCCAGTGTGTTGTAGAATTGTCTTTTGTCTCTCCTAGCACTCTTCTTCATGTCTTTATTCAGCTTCTCCTTCTGTTGCCCATCTCTGCATTGAGTCATCTTCTCTTTCACCATCCTCCTCTCCTCGCTTCTATGAGCTTCCAGGTAAGTGTCCATTAACAGCCATTCCTTGTCGTGTCTCTTCTTTATTCCTAGAACAGTTGTGCACGTTTCCTTGAACACTACCTTCATAAAGTTAGTTAGTTCCAATGTTCTTCCACACAGGTTTTCTCAGTGATGCCACGTAGTGTCTCCGACTTTGCTCTCATGTGATCTGATCTGATCTGATGTGTAGTGAAGGCACTCCTTGTAGTATTGTATCTCAGTTTCTGATGTTGAGTTTGAATTGCAGTGGTCTGTCTGCAGTTGTTTTGCGGGATTTCAGCTTCACCTTGAAGTCTCCTTGAACTAGATGATGGTCTGAGGCGGCCCACTCCTGCTGCTTTTCTCGACCGTGTATCCAACAGACTGGCTGCGTCTCCACTTCCTCGAGCGACATTGAGATGAAGTCTATCTGGTTTGTGGTATGTCCGTCAGGAAAAATTCATGTTGCCTCGTGTATATCCTTGTGTTTGTACACACTGCCTCCGAACCCGAAATCATCCAAAGAGCAGAAGTCTGTGAATAATTCTCCGTTCTCATTCATTTCTCCGAGTGGTAGCCTCTCGACCCATGATGAGTTCTCTTCCTGGATTATCCGCTCACAGTTTGTCTTGCACTCATGTGGTCGATAAGGATTTTGATGTCACCATTTGGGATGTTGTCCATTACTGTGTGCAGCTGTCTGTAAAAATCCTCCTTCGTGTCTTGTTGCGCGTTAACTTTAGGTGCGTAGCATTGGATAATTGTGAGCTTCCTTCTTTCCTTTTGAGTTCCTTTCCCAGTACTCCTGAGACATATCTTCGCATTTCTTTGCTTACCTTGGCAGCCTTCCTAGCCAGCCTCGTACATTGTACGGATATTCCACGTCTTCATTCTTACTCTTGCTTTCATCGAGTGAATACGCATTGGCTGGCTGACTGGCTTCCTGAAGGCTTTCACCATTCCGCTGTGTCATTTCGCCTCCCCGATTCCAAAGAAGAATAAGACTGCTATTATTTGAAGTTTTTGTATTTTTAATATATCTTCTGTACACTGAAGTTTCTCTAGCGGTTGATAGGTTTATTGGTGTGACGTTGCTAGTCCCACGTCCATTCCCTTTTCTTTATCTGGGCTGGGAACCGGCTAGAAAACTAGCAAGCAAGTGAACTAAGCGAGGTCATTGTATAAATACCGAAGGTAAACATTCATGAAGAAAGTAATATAAAGGTCAACTGCTTTGTTTTTGTTCCTAATCTGGCTATAGGCCAGATATAGAAACAACTTTTAAATATTTCAGTTAAGGGCGTTTCACTGGAGACAGATTCATAAATGAGGTATGAATTTTATTGTCTAAACAATGAAAGGAAGGAATACAAAGTATTCTGATTCGGCTTCTTGTTGTTCTGTGACAATATATATATATATATTACATTAAATACTTTAATTATAATTTAGCACATCCAAAATTCTTCAATAATAATGCCTTTATTCCGAACAGAATTCTGAGCACGAATATGTGAAAAATTTTATTGATGTGCATTGCTTCCTGAAGTTGACCTAACGTGAAAAACACAAAGTAGATATTCTTATACAGAAATTAGAATTTGTTAATTTTATCTTGTTAAGACAGTCGGAAAATGTTGGCATAATATGATTCGCTTAAATTTAAATGCATTTAAGTTACATTCAAACTTTTAAATGCTGATAACTAATTATCGTGAGTACACTCATGAGAACGCGAATATATTTCCAAGTTTCTAATTTTTTGTTTGTTTCACACACTTTACTTCCTTTTAGGTGAATGGAATCAACGTGACTACCATGTCACACGAAGCTGTTGTTGCACTTATCCGTGGTTCCAGTGATATTTTAGGACTGAAGGTAATAACTGTAGATGCGGAGCAGATCACCACAACGCCCACATTGGAACACCAGTCATTAAATGGTAACTATCTGTTTTTGCGATTTAACTTATCCTCAGAAGACCAGATACGGGAATGCTTTATTCTCTTAATGTCTTGAATAAAAATATTATTTTTACTACTACTGAATAAACTGACGTCAATTTTCATGAGACAGAACACAAAAGGTTTAAATTGTTCTGTCATTACGTAAAACTTAAAGGTAGCTCAGTATTTAGCATTGTTTGTCACTGCATAAAGGAAATGAAATGACCAGTTTTCAAAAGTGATTATCAGTTGAGTTCTCTGTATTTCTGGAACTACTGACAGTTCTACAACTATTTTAGGTGGAACAGGAAGGTAAGAAGACGATTCAGTCATAAATTAGAGGCTACTTCGATATCAGAGATTGCACATTCGACTTGCTGTACTTATTTTGTAAACGACGTATACTTCATCATGAATGGCTTTATATATGTTATAAGGTGAAATAAAATGACTCATGAAGAAGATTGCTATTATCTCTAATTTCGGGGAAATGCAACTAGCAAAATTCCATTATGGAAATATACTCTACTTTAGTGCTCAAGTTTTATTTCAATACCACCTATATAAAACTTTTTTTTCCCACAGGTAACCGATTTTGTGAATCATCAGACAATCTTTATAATTCGAAAACCAGGAAGCACAACTACGAGCATACTTTTTCAAATGATTGTTGCAATTCACCTGAAACAAACTGGTCCATAAATATTGATAATAACTGTAGAACTATTTGCAGAGATTCATTTCATAAAACGGAGAATTGCTCTACAAGACAGTCAAATAAGTTAGGGAACAAGCCTCTGTTGAATGGCTTTGTCTCAACAAATAAGCTCAATACTCTTCGAAGAAATACTGAATATACTGACAGAAATGAAATTTCTAATCTGAAATCTTCGCAAATATCACTGGCTTCATATAAAACACCCGTCCCTCCACCAATTGCCAGTAAACCAACACTGAACTGTGGTACTTTAACTAAAAATGGACAGCAAAACAATGGCAAAACTATGGAAAGAAAAGAAGTGAACATGTCAATTAATTCCAATGTAAGTGTACTTATATAATTAGGATCAATGTATTCTGTAGGGGTAAGAATTTCTCATAAAACTTATTTACGGTCATTTAAGTTTGTTCAAGTTTTTACTGATTTTAATATGAGAGGACCTATTTTAGCGTAGTAAGTGAAAATCTCACATTGAAGTCAATCTTATCCGCTTGCAACGGTTGTATGAACGAAAAGACGAGCTTAATTGGCTGTACAACAACATTGGAATAATGGTGGCTGTCTCTTAATCAGATTGCGGAGAAGTGAAAACTCCTAGTGCTTCGTAAATATAATTACGTAAATTTTAGTGGATTTATCATTAAACATCACTATTTTCTAACAGCAAATGCAAGATCTTTAGGTTTTAAGTAATATTATAAAAGGCGTATACCATTTAGGAAATTCATTTCTGATGTTCAGCACTAAACACATCATTACAAAATATTTAATTCTTTCAAGAAAAAAATATCACGATACAGCTTTTCTTGCTTATCTTAGCAATATACAGTGTTGATTTTTCCTATTATTTGTGCAATGAATATTTAAGGCATAAGTCCTTTGCGTCTAGCTGCACAACAGTCAGTAAACACGATAGTGAATGATTTCACAAACCAAGTTTGCAGATTTTCTCGTATGTTCTTTATGCTGGAAAGACGATAAGCTTTTTTCACAGGTAGTTGAATATTTTCATTTGAGAGTAATTGATAAAACTGTGAAATAAAATTATGCAAAAATTTAATATATTTTGCCTATCCACTGTCAAAGGACTGGTTAGTTAGTGAATCATAATTTATAAATCTTGAGATCAAATATATACTCATTATTATTTATAGAATAGCTTTCATGCATAGCCTATTTATGATCGACTGTTCATTCCTAGTGTACTAGCTCTTCTGATAACATGATACACTTTGTTTTATTTTAGGAAAAATCCGGTTATAATGGAAGGAATTGTGAATCTGTAAATGGTATTCAAAACACGCCTATTCATCCACCTCCACCAATGTTGCCTACAGTTTCCTCGAGTATTTCAGCTTCAGTTCCACCACCACCACCAATTTTCATTCCTACCACAAAAAGTGTACCAACAATAAAACCTGAAATTCCTACAGGAATTCTGAAGAAAAGTTCATCCGCTTTAAACGAATTGACAGAAATATCGAAGCCTTCAAAATGTTCACCAGATAACCGAAGTCAAGATGATTGGTCAGATCAACTGTCACTACCACCTCCACCGCCTCCAGATGAATTTGAGTTGAATACACCTGAGAAGGAAATACAGCCGCAGTGTGTTAAAAATAATTACAATAATGGTCAAGAAACTTGTAAAATACAGTCATCTCCGAAGGCAAGTAAACTTTCATCTTTTGAAGATAATTTAAGAAAGGCAGTGGCTCAGCGTCGTCGCATGATAGAAATGGCTTCAGAAGACGAAGAACAAGACTTCGAGCCCATGCATTACAAAAGCTGTCAAAGTACACTGTACACTGAAAGTACAATCAAAACTACAAAACAGCAAGATGATTCACTTCCACAAAATGAAAACTCGTTTAAATTAGCTGCAGAAAAATTCCACCAAAAGGCATTATCACGTAATTTACCGTCTAATGGTACTATTCCACCTCCTGAAAAATTTAAAGATTCTAACAAAATTTTCAGCAAGTTTGATGGCAACACAGAAGCTAAAATAGGCAATAAGCCAGTGTTACCACAGTGGCAGTCTTCCTTGATGAGAAATGCAAACAAAACGCAATATTCAGTAAATAGTGAAGAAAAAATCTCCAATGGTGTTAAAGCAAGTGATTCGTATTTATCAATTAAAAGTTTCCAAAATAACGGTACTAGCAATAATAACGATAATACATGTTCAGATGCTATGCTTAAAGAAGTGACAACATTTAAACAGAACTCAAGTTCTCATCCTACAAAGGTAATGGGAAATAATACAGCTCCTCCACCACCACCCCCGCCGCTGCTTTTTGTCGACACCCCAAAAGTAATGTGGTCTACCAGGAAAAATGATTCAGTAAAATCTCTTGTACGATGACAATACTGTCATTACGCATGAAATAATTTTTCAACCGATAAGACATATCAATCACTTCCCTTTTGATTAAAGCGTTATCTAATTCAATTGAAATTACACCTCAGATTTTGTCCCCATAAATATATTATCATGTTATTACTTTTCAGAAAATTTCAAGGCGAAGCTGACTTATTTATTATTTGCAATTCAATACAAAAAAAAACAATAAGAATATCTGCTGTGTCATGCAAATTTCACTTTAACTAATGAAATGCAATAAATTTGGCAATCAATACTTTCTGTGTGTATATACAACACATTTAGGCATGTAGTAAAAGCAACAAACAGTCTAACAATTTGATTAATTCATGCAAGAATTTAGGTTTCATTATGCATCAACGCAGTCATTTATATTTGTGATGAAGATTGTCTTTTTACAATGATTCGTTCATTTTTCACGTCCTTTTTTTACATATATTTCGTAGAATTGGGAAACATTTTGTATTTAGACATAGTTCAGAAATCTTGAACACTGAAGTATGTCTGTTGTTTCTATCCCATGTATCTTTTGTTACATAGTTCTTTTCTGTGAATTAGTTGATTATTTCAGCCATTTATGAAAAGTCATAAATGAAATGACAAAAGGAGTCTTTTTCTTTGAGATAGTGTATGTTTTTTTTTTCATGGAGAAATTATGTGAATAAGTCTCTCATTTTTAATAAGTACTATAGGCACAAGTATTTCTTAATTGACCCATTCAACATCCTTTATACTTTTAAGTTGCAAAAGTTTATATAATTAAAATATTCGTAATGAATCACGTTGTCTTTCTTTTAATGTTTTCCTGGTTGATCTATTTCGACTTTGGTCGGTTCATTCTAATAAGTAAATTTTAGCTCGAAAACCACCAAGAATCTTCGCCGTTTGATTTCCTAGAGGAACAAATACTTAGCACTTTAAATTCCCTGAGAATGAAATGACCATGTCTAGACGAATTCCTAATGGAATCTACTAGAGACTGATTCGACTTGTGGTGAACCAAAGGGAGTAAGTAATGTCAATTTTATCAAAGTAATATAAACTGAGACTGTATGACAGATGCGCTAATCAAGCAATACATTACAACTCCTGGGTGTCAGAAGTTATCAAAATGTTCACCGTAGTCCGAAATTCCCAAATTTCAACAATGTAATAACAAATATGCGTTGATGGTTCTTCACTGGATGTTGATTTGGCTGTTGAAACTTACTGGATTGAGGTTAGGTATCAATTTTTGAATTCTCTAAAAGGTAAACAATTATTTGAAGGTCAGTATAACAGCCACAGTGAATCAGAATACGAAATATAAGCAAACAAGCATACTTAGCATGCTAACCATGTCAGAAATTATATTAGTCGGAAAGTGCACTTATCAGGTGAATACAGATTCAGTTTTCATAAAGGATAAGCAAAATATCCTGACAGAAAAGAATATATTTTTATCTTCAAAAATGTTACAGGATTGTTATTTCATTTGATGTTGACTAACAGTGGAATCCTGGATACGTATTTTGCCAACCCGTTGGGAGCTCGTTTGATGCAGGTACTTGCATTTCTAGTGAGTGATGGTGTCCCTACCGAGAATCGAACCCTGCACCCACCTTTAAAAATGCTGAAGCACTATATGCGAGAATCATCTTTTGCACAACAAGTGCCAGTTATTTTCTGTTTTTAGGTTAATATGTATTTCCCGTTGATTGACTATGTTGGACTACCAACCAAAATGACTTCACTTTAATCCTTAGAAATCATCGAAGCATACGTATCAGCAACTGACCTGTCAACATAACCGATCAGCGGAAAATATAAATTAAGGCATAAAAACAAATTATATGCAGAAATGTACTCATCTTCTCCACGGACCTAAAATTTATTTTATGCTGATAATTACTGAAACCACCATAAACAACGCCTCTTGTCACTAAAGGTAGTCAGTAGCTCTTGAACCGATTAAAACTCATAATACAAAGGATATCTGGGAAAAGAGGTCATTTCCTACAAGTTAATTTGTCATCGGAATAATGTGTATGACAAGCGAAGATTGTTAACAGTAGTGAGTCAAAATAAATAGCTTTTGTTTTAATTTTTCGTACAAAATAGCGATATCTATAGGAATTTAGCCTTATAATGCGTTGTTGGTTTGAAATTTTGTTCTACAAGATCCTCACTTCTTTTCGAGTCAGTAAAAAGTGTGCCTACGAATTACAATGACCCAAAAGAATCATCATTCTAAAACCGCCTAGTTAATGACCCCGTTAACTTAAATCTGACCACAAACCACAGGTAATTTATCACAGTTAACCGAGTGGTTTTCGACTGGCAGTACTCATATAGACCAAAACACATAACTGACCTAATATCAGCTATAAACCAGGATTAATTACCTAGGAGATTCACAGAGGCTTGAAGGTTTTTGAATTAGTTCTTTTTGATTTAATCAGTGAATTCAACAGATATGTAATTTAAAGGTGATGTTACTGATATTCTATATAGTGGCTGAAGATTTCTTCTAAGAAATCCGCAGAGATGATTGCCTTAGATTAGTTAACCAGACGTTTGAGTTACGCGTAAATTCCAAAAGCACAGAATTGTCTGAGGTAGAGTACAACACGATGTATAATTAATGAATATAATATACCAACGTCAAATTGTGAAGCGTCTATGACTTAATGCCATCAAATGCACTGTCACTTTCTGTCACTATAAATGAACAGTGAAGCTGGGCCAATAGTGATCCATGGTCAGCTTAAACAGTTCACAAATGTCCGGATAAAAATTAAAGGGAATAAAAATAAACGGTTTTTACGAGTTTGACAACGGACTGATATCATTTAGAGAACCACTGAAAACCAGGGAGTACTGGACTTCCTGCAGGGCGGAGTTTCCTGGAGTTTCAGTGAGAAGTCGTAACCAGTGAGGTCCGACCAGTCAAGTCTGAGGATGGATTTCACACAGACGATATGGGCTGTTGGTCACGCCAAATCACGAATTGGCAGGATTTAGAATTCATGCACTGGCCATTGAATCGGGTCCCAGTGGCTTAATGGTGTATAAGCTGGCCTTGTGACCAAAAGATCCTGGGTTCGAACCCTGGTGGTCAGTCCGTAGTGACGATGATTCCCAAACTAGGATGAAACAACTGTTCATTACTCCTTGGTTTTCAATGGTTCTCTAACTGATATCAATCCGTGGTCAAACTCATAGAAACAAATCTAATCCTTACAAACCGACTCTTCAACAGAGAGTGGAATTTAAATACGACAGGTGTTTTTTACCTATAAGAAGATAATTATTGAGATCAAATAGGATAATAATACATTGTGTGAGATAAACTTCCATAACAGACAACAGTTATGCTTACAGATTAACAGAGTGACATGGGCTTGAGTCTCAGAAAGGACATGAGTTCTTTCAAGGTTGCAGATACGCCTTGCTGACGAGTGCCAACTAGCACGAAACCTAGGTCCAAGGCTTCCTGCCAATTGCCCCCACCTATCTAATATCATCAAATCAATGTACACCGTGATGGCGAGCTATCTAGAATGGTGACCACATTGCAAACCTGACTTATAAAATTCAATCTGCACCAAGGAAAGGACTAGACACTTCACCCTAGTTACTAGTGTACAATCAGAGTAACAGCATATTGAAAAAATGAATCCATACTACTTACTATCGGCAAGTAATAAAATGCTGAACACAAAGCAAATATCAACAAAGGATAGTTAAGAAAAGAATTAAAGTTGGTCATTCGAATTCCGGTCTATACTGTGATTCGTGATACAAAATAATGCCTATTCTGTTACCCCAGTAAATTATTTCCGCACCGTTTTCCTTAAGTATGCAGGAAGAGCATTCACTAAAAGCAACAGACTTGTACAAATTTCTGGTACATAATAACACGTTTGGAGGTCATATTGACAAAGATTGGTTTGTTGAGTGAACTCACAAAAGAAGTTCCTTTCTTTCTGCTCCGCATATCTTGTTTCATAAATTATTTGGTGACAATGACACCCTCATTGTGCATATAATGAATAAAACAGGCATGATGTTGTTTTTACACTTTGGAAAAAGTGATCAAATGAAGTGATTAAAGCCCTTATACCCTCAGAGTATGATTCAAGCAGCAGTAAACATTCGTAATTTTGGCATTCTTTCAACAACTTTGTCCTACAAAAGTGGCAACAAAGAGGTCATTAAAAAATAGTAGTCTCGTCTATTAAAGTAAAGGCAGCGGATTAACTTAATTATTGAGAGTATTGTTTAAGAAACAGTACATCAAAATTGAAAGTGAACTAATCACTGTGCTAATGGAAGCAATAGGTAATGCAAAATAAGTGAAAAAGCTGTTTATACATGTTAGTTAAACAACTGGAAAATCAAAGTGACTCAGTGGATATATATATATATATATTATATATTCCGTTTGGCTCATCCATCAAGAAACGACTGATGCAACTAAGATCACGAGCTGACTTCATTTTGATAACTAGTGGAGACCGAGCAGTACTAGACAACTGTTTGTGATTGTCCTGAAGCACTCACTCATGATTCCACCGGGGATAGAACGCAAGACCTTCGAGCTAGGATCTTAACTATTTAGACATATCCCAGTACCTCAAGAATTTTTCCTCCAAGTCCGCAATATGTAGCTCGACCGCCGACTGATATCATTGACCAGTGATTACCATCACACCCAACTTGGTGGACCTCACTGTACATGACTCCTCAGTAGAACTCCAGGCGACTACAACCTGCAGTCAGTCACTGGTGAGCATCGTAAACTGTCAGAAAGTGAAATTCATAAGCTGTCAGATTCAATCAAGTTAGCTTAATGGTCGGTGGGCTGGCCTTGTAACCTGAAGGTCCTCGCTCCCGTCCCTGGTGGAGCAGTAGGTGAACACTTCTGAAGGTCCTAAACCTGTCCAGTACTCTTTGGTTTTCACTGGTGGTCTAACTTAAGTTAATTCATGACTTACCTTTATTTATCAAATTCCTGCAAGCTAACACTCGAAAACTGATGAAACATTAAGGATGCTAGTCACTGATAAATATCTGAAGGATTTGTGGTGAAGTCAATCGAAATCCGTTTTCTTGATATTCATATTTCAGCAACATAGCACCCTTTCGTTCCAAAAGATTTGGATGAAAAGCTTATGTACGAGTTCTTCGAAAGGTTCACAATGTGCAAAAATAAATTTTGTAGCTGGTGTGGCAACCTGTGGCAAATAACCGAAATATGCAAGGAAAATGAAAGTCTGGATAAAAATGAAAAACTATTGATTTGAGTAACGAATAATTTCGGAAGTCTGAAACTGTCTAGGAATTGTTTGGGTGAAGTTATATGCGCAAGCAATTATGTGAATATCCTACCACTGTCTTTTTCATGATTATTATATATTCAGTTAGCATGGAAGTGTAACAAAATGTACCAATTTAGCGTTATGGTCATAAATTTAGTGTGGAAAACAAAAATGAAAAGAGGCAGTAAAATTCAAACAGACATTTTTATCTTACAATTAATCGACACAATGTATCAGATGGGGTTGATGTCATACTTGTCGTACAAAGTAGTTGTTAAATTGTATTGCATAAAAGGTACTACTGAAACATTTGTGAGTAGGCACAGTAGAATTGCAAAATATTCCATATTAGCAAAATGAAAGCATGAAAATGTGTGTCGTCTCCCTTACATAGAGAAAAAATTCCTGTTGAGAATTTAAGCAGAACTATCAAAACGATCTGTTTTGAATTCCTGATAGGATAGTTTGCATGAG